GGGGGGGGGGGAGGCTAATTATTAGTCACTAGGCAAAAATGACTATGTGGCTATCTTGCTTCCCCTGCTGAAAAAAAAGAGGAAAAAAAAGGGTTTGCCGAGTTCCAAGATACTGCACTATGTTGAGTCAACAATCATGAACAATAAAATGATGGAATTAGTTCTTCATTTTAAAATGTAGAGTGAGAAAATACTTTTAATTAATTAACAGATACAAGTTCAAGTTCTATTTTTTTTTATTGTGTTCCATACAACATAAAAGTATATAAAACAAAATTGGTTGTGGAAATGACGTAGAAACTGGATAAAATTGACACAACATAAAATTTCCAAGATACTGCACTATGTTGAGTCAACAATCACGAACAATAAAATGATGGAATTAGTTCTTCATTTTAAAATGTAGAGTGAGAAAATACTTTTCATTATTTAACAGATACAAGTTCAAGTTCTATTTTTTTTTCATTGTGTTCCATACAACATAAAAGGATATAAAACAAAATTGGTTGTGGAAATGACGTAGAAACTGGATAAAATTGACAACATAAAATATAAGAGGCATTCAAGTACTGAGACTACAATAAAAATGTTCCTATTCTGCAAATACACCCTTAAATTTACTTGATTATCTATTGATTAAATAGACTGACATAATAAAATATTTACTTTATGTCTAGGAATGCCACCAAGGAGTATTACGGCAAAGGGTAAACCAAGAGGGCCTCAACTGTTACGGCAAATTGTACTCTAATAGTGAAGGACTGCAGTGTTGTGATAAAAGGACATCCACTAAGGCTTACTATCCACAGGAAGAATCATGCTGTGGTGGAATGATTTACAAAATTTCAGAATCACATAGTAGGTTAGTATATCTATTGAGAGAGCAGGTAAAACAACAGGAGGACAGTGGGTGGATTCAGGCTCCAATGTTATATAAAGACTTTCATGCTTCAGCGCACAAAGTTTAGCCAACTGAGCTTCATCTCTGTGTAAAAAGGGCTTGTGCTTTAGTGCTTGAGGTTCCAAAAAACTCTATACATCAGCAAAAACGGAATTAGTTATCATTACTTGTATTTTCTTGGTTGCTCTATATAATTTCTGTGTAAAGTGCATAGGGGCAATGTGCACATTGTTGCAACATTATTATTATTGTTATTATTATTATTCCTTGAGCAATTTGTTTTAATTGAATGTTTATAAATAAAAATAAGAATTAGGAAGGTTTATATAACATACATATTCACTTTTTTTTAAATGCTCAAGGTGCTAGAAAGCATGGAAATTAACGCATGAAATGTTAACTAACCTGGAAAAAATTTTTAACGCAGTGTATCCTTAACAAAACGAGTTATGAGAGCAATTTTTACAATATCTATCACAAATGATTTTAGGTGCTGTGGAAGTGTGGCGTATGACAATCAAACTGAGGTATGCAAAAATAATGAAGTGAGAGACCGACACGAATGGGAGATGAAACCAAACAAATGCGGTCCATTGTACTACAATCCAACAAACCAGTCGTGTTGTTTAAATGAACTGATTGGACCAGGACAAACATGCTGTGAAAATGGGGTAAGAGAAATTTTTATTTCTATTAAAAAGCCGTTGATTTGAATGTTGTCAATCTGCAAACCACATGTTGTCCAAATTCATTAAAAGCTAGTGTAGAAAATATGAATCTATCTACTGTAGATGTATTTTATACACACTAATGATAGCTGTTGAACACAATATCAAAATCAAATCCTGGTCCATTTTCATTTAAATTTGTTTAAATTTTGATATTCACTTTGATCATTCCCATTAAGTGCTGGAAACTTTAGATGCCACTGTGAAGTGAACAAATATGATTAAAGAAAATAGGAAAACATATATAAACAGAAATTTCTTGAACAAATATTATAAATACATATTTGAAACAATTAGTATTCAACTTTTAAAAATTACACAGTATGCTGTGAAAGATAAGTGTTTTAATTTTTTAACAGGTGTATGCAACACCAGGGACTCCACTGAATGAGGGAGGTTGTTGCAATTCTGAGGGCTTCAACCAAGACACACATATATGTTGCTCGGCCAAATTGTACCTTAAAACTTCAACAGGTAAGAAATAATAAA